TGCTGTTTTTGCAGCTCGGTTATCATGGTAGCCAGCATGACACAGCTAACCTGGTTGTCATCCTTAACGTGTTTCTCGTAGGCATCTTTGACCGCTTTCGGGGCGTTAGCGGGAGGGGCAGGAGGAATGGGCTTTTCGAGCACATACTCTTTCTCATCCATGCGGAGAACAATGCAGAGATTGCGTTGCCAGTCAACAAAGTTTGTTCCGTTCAATTTATCTTTATCCAGAATGGAACGCAGGGCGAGGTTGTTTGTGTTGTTGTTTGCCATCTACAGAATTTTGCGAAGATAGTTATTATCATGAATTAAGTATCTAATAGGTCTTTATTAAATACTCTCCCACTATTTCTAACAAGTCAACTACCCTCAGGTACGGAACCTATTGACTTGGGGTTTCTATTTGAAGAATACCCTAGCGGGCCAAGATCCATATTTTATTTAACTATAGTTGTGCTTTGCATCTTGCCCTACAGTTAAATTATTTAGGTAGGAATTCATTCCAATTGCAATCGTTATTACAACTCTTGGTTCGGTGGATTCTTTTAAATAAAATTCTTAATTGGGCCAGATCCATATTTCATTTAACTATAGTTGTGTTTTGCATCTTGCCCTACAGTTAAATTATTTCTGGTAGGAATAAATTCCAATTGTAACAATTTACAACTCTGGTTGGATGATCTGATTTTATTTATTTATCCTACCGCAGTGCCCTAAGTCTCTCATCCTTATGACCAAGACTTAGTTAAGACTAACCCGGGGCGAGTCAGTACCCTAGTTACGGGTTTCGCGCCTAACCAACGTAAACCGGGCGTCTCACTTGGGTGAGTCCGTTACCGATCTAAATTGGGTTTGACGAGTGACGGGGCGTCGGGGTGGCACAGGCTTAAAATTATGAGGGATTTATAACGCAGTCTTGCCTATGGCATACACCGCGCGTATGCACTAGCGAAAATCACATACATGCATACATTCAATCATACATCACATGCATAATAAGTAAACATGAAATGATTGTGGCTCCTAAAGAAAAACAAACGATAGCGCCTTGATCAAGAGATCTCTATCTCCGGCCCATCACGTCTTCCCCAGGATTCCCTATCACGAACGGACTTCGTCTTCTTATCTTCTTATAATTTTCGAGAGAAAAGAATATTTGAGGTAAAGAAGAGAATTACATCCAGAGTATAGAGATGAGGCACGACACGCAGGCCGTATTTAAAATTACAACAAATATAACTAAGCGACAATCATCCACCATGCAATAATACATACAAGCATCACATGCATCACATCATACATATTAAAGCATACACCAGGCGAACCGCGCTCGCCCCAGACCTAGTTTACTCTATTCTACGGAATAAACTATCAACAATAAATTAATTAAATTAGCAAGTAATTTAATTAAAATCATAAAATACTTTAAATTTCCAGAATGTTAGAAATTAGATTTTCTAAATTCCAGAAAATAAAATATTTTATATTTACCGTATTTATATATATTTAAATTCGAAAAAGGGCTTTTATTTCGAATTAAATATATATATATATGTTTTCTAAATTAGCAAATAATTGTTGGAGACTCCCAGTAAACTTTATTAATATAAAATTTAAAATTTTTAAAACCATTTTTCAAAGATAGAAAACCGAAATTATAATGTGAAAATATATTTCGAAATTCCAAAAATATCAAAATTTATTTTCCAAGTCAAAAATAAGTTCCAGAACCAGAATATGATTTTTCTAGAATTTAAAATATTAATTTTGCAATTTAAAATAATTAAAAATCGGACTAGTGAATAGTACCGATCCAATTACTTCAAAAATACAAAATAAATATTTTTACGTGTTTTAAAATTATGAAAATTTTTATACAAGCTTAAAATCTCTGGTCACAACTTATTATGAATAAAAATTAGTTTTTGATCGTCAAAAATAAGTTTTCCTATTTTCTATTCAATAAACGAATTTAAAAATAGAAAAATAGGAAATTAATTCCAAAAATAGATTTTAAAATTTCTGAGTTATATTGACATGTCAAATACTTCCCAGAAAATATAAAATCTAATTTTCATAAATATTAAGTATTTATGGCACAAATAACAAGTATTCTACACATAAACTACTTAATAAGAATAATATAAAAATACCCCAAACAGTAATTCTGAAAATTACTAAACAAAATTATATTAGGTCCAGTATCTAAATATGGCCACCTAATTAAATTTTAATGGGATAAATTTTTGTCTCCAAAATTTATTGACTAGTCTACAAAAACAATAACGGTAAAAACTACTAAACTAGTAACTTC